GCTCCTTCTTGGTAAGAGTTATAACCCCGCCACCTGTAAATGCTGGATCCCTCACCGTTTATCATAATATAATTCTGCGCATGAAGGAATGTATGCTTATTTGAGTGTATACTTACGTTGATGGCTTTGCCGAAATGTGTTTAACCATCTTATAAATAAATTCACTAGTTTGATAATTTGCTTCCTGCTACTACCTTAGCACAGTCAAACATGTGTCACCTTGACAGTGTTTAATATATGAGAAGGGACTGGCGTAAAGATTTGACATCGGTTTTTCCTGGTGCACTTCCCTGTCAAGGAACATAGATTTTAAAAATACCAAGAATGATGTGCAGGTGAGTGCAGAATAAAAAGACTGCAGTTTCAGAATACACCCCTCGCTTTCAATTCTGTACAGTTATGCCGCCCTCTGTGTTGTCGCTGGGTGTAGTTGCTACAGAGGACTGTACCTCAGACTTCACGCAAGTAGCATGCGGGGTGTGGAGACGGTATTTGGTGTATAGCAGTTCCAGTCGGTTGCTATTTTAAATTTGTTCATCCCATTTTGGAAAGGAATCGTAAAAATGAATAATCATGTGATGGATTTTCCCATGTTAAAGTTGGAAGCTGTTCAATGTAAAATAAAGACTGTTGCCAATCACTCACCTCTCTGTTTCCAGGGATTTCCCAGACTGATTCCCTACGATTAGCAGTTGATTTATATCAAGGAAGCGGCTGCCAATAGCAAGTAGGAAAGGAAACTTTCTCTCTATATCCCGATTTGATGCAGCAACAGCGAGGGATTAGCGATTCATGTCGTGTGTCAAAATGTAACTTATGTTATGTGTTTCCAAGCTCGCTATGAATTATGACCAAATGCAGTCGTTTCCATTGGCATTGATTGCTGTTCTAACTGCACAAACATGTTTACGGAAACCAGGCTTTAACGAGCCAAATAGGACTATAATGTTTTTTATTTATATAGCACATGAACTTTGACACTAAATATAGCTTGCGGGAATGAAATGAAAATTTTGGGGGTTTACCCTATGCCATAATTCAACGAATGTCGTTCCGCCGAGTGAATAGAGATTTTTTCGCGTCTGAGCACTTTTTCATGCGGTTTTTGTCTCCTTGTCTCGAAATCATGGCCTTCAAACGTGATTATTTCGAGAAGCCATTTAATTTCAAAAGGTACTGCACAGCCAAGGAATGTAACTTCCGCCTCGCTATTTGTTAAGACACAACATTGAGGTTTGCCAGCCGTCAAACCTTCTGACCTTGTGCAAAATTCTATTTAAAAACACTTTCCCAATAGGACCCTGCAAAAGGGTTTCAGCTTGCAGCCAAACGCAAGCCTGGAGTCAAGTAAGTTCATCGTTTTTGGTAGATAGCCGGCCGTTTTGAGAAACCTTTGACGCACGTATACTTCAGCATTACAACTGCCCGTCACAACGGGACTTCTTCCTCGGAAATAAATACATCGAGACTCCATAGGTATGTAGCCTTCGCATTTTTAGTCGTTTTCTGCTTTCTTTCGAAGCAGCAGGATGGTATTCGTTGTGGTTCAATGCTGGCAAATGCTCAATGATATCTTAAAATAGGCAATGAATCACTGGCATTCGGTTCAAAAGCTACGTTTCTGAGTATAAACGGCTTCAGAGTGATCTTGAATGCACTTGTCAGCTTAGAGAGGTGCTGGCAAACGCAAACAAGAGACTTTGCGTGTTACGAACACTTACGGCGTTCTCGATTGGTGCCAATGAACTTAGAATTGTGTACAGTGGCTACATTAGAGCAAATCTTGAAAAAATATGCATATGTTTTTGGCACTCTTGGCCAAGTAACAGTATTATCAGAGGCCATTCAAAAAGCGCTTGTACAATCGTCCTGGGTAATAGGTGTAGTTTAAATTTGGAAGGAGGTTAGAGCACTGGTATAATTTTACTCAAGGGCTATAAACAAATTCCTGCACTTGTTCCCTTGTCCCACCAACTCGATGGAAAGTCAAAGCAGGTGCCCTAGATCTAACAATAAAGATTTACCAGCTCCCAGCAAGAACCACCAAAAAAGTCCAGTTCCCCTTTCACTGACCTTTCTAAATAAGTGGGCGATCTCGATATTACAAACTTTTGAAAACTCCATTTTAACTTTGTCCGTTTTTGTCACTTGAATTTTATTTGTTTTGTTCTTTCTTATGGTTTAAATTTTCAGTTTATTTTAATTTCTGTTTGGGCCACACTTTTGATTTGGCTGCAGGGCCACGATTGTGTGAAATAAATAAACATAAACATGAAACAAACCTTTTCCTTCCATTTGCCTGTGGGCAATTGCACGCTTTTCACTTTGGACAGAAAATTCCGTTGTAGATTTATACAAATGACTGAAGAATTTAAGCAAGGTATCCTGTGAGCACCGAAAACTAGTTTCATCGCAAAACTTTTAGAATCGAATTGAAAATTTTACAATTGAATTTTCTTTCCGAATTTCCCCTGCACATAATTTCTCTGTGGTGTCCTTTTTCACTCCGCTGATCCCTTTGAGGACACACGCAATTCGTTTTGAAATACTAAGTACTTATGTCTTCTATGAAACCAAGAATATTACAAATGTAGCCGTGGCACAATGGCTTATCGGGTCGATGAAAACCCGACAAGAGAAGACAACGATATCTGTTCAAATGTAAAGTTTTTGATAATTATCATTCATTAAACATTTCTTGTAATAAATGAAATTAAGGCTTCCTAAAAGTCGCACGAAAAACTTTGCCCTCAGTTGAAAACTGAAGAAGTTGAGTTCGGCCTGTGGACTTTTCCTGTTACCAAGGTCAGTGCGCATGTGTTTTGACGGAACTTTGTGATTTTTTATTTTAAAGCATGAGCGCTTGAATACAAAGCTGTATCAGGGACATGGGTAAAAGAAATTCTCTTCTCCTTGAGCTAACTCGTACGTACGACTTGTATGTCGTACGTACGACGTCTATCTCGTACGTACGACTTTTATCCCGTACGTACGACTTCTATCCCTTACGTACGACTTATAAATCATAACTCATACGTACAACTTATATCTCGTACATACAACTTATATCTCGTACGTACGACTTATGAATCATAACTCGTAAGATCGACTTATATGCCCTTAGTACGACTTATATATCGTTCGTACGACTTATACGTCGTACGTACGACATACAAGTCGTACGTACGAGTTTAAGCTCAAGGAGGAGAGAATTTCTTTTTTAATTATGTCCCTATACAGCTTCGTACTTGAACACTAACATGAGTGAGCACATAACCATTCAGCTGTGGTAAAGAAAGCCATTGAGTGCAAGTTTCAGGCATCGTTATCCTCCACCGTCTTATTCTCCATGTTTTGGGTTATAGTTTAGTAAACAATATCAGTTTTTAAAAAAGACAAATTTAAAACTGGAGGCTTTTAATGGTGTTCATAAAACGTTCCATATTAGGCTGGAAAAAGCAAGTTCCAACAGGAATACAGTATAAAGCCAGCACACACGAAGTGCCCGCCACAGGTCAATGTTGCTGCACAGTTGATCCTAACAAGTTGTCAATATGGAATTGGAACCAAGGTGTTTTTTTTTTTGAAACTCAAAACTAAAACTGAGAGAAATAAAATAAAGGCAGTGGATATTTTGCTGTCGCCGGCAAAAGTTCCAAAGAGATATTCTGCCTGAAGCCTTGTTCCGATTTGTCCATATTTATGATGTCACCGTTGCCCGCAATACCCGTCGATGCTTTTTAACCAGCCTGGTAATAACGACGACACAAGAGGAACTGGGTCATTCCATGAGGTTGGGGCACAATTTGTGATGGTGTCCTTGTTACATGGATAAGTTTTACCACCTGTCATGGCCTGTAGAGTAGGTCAGTTACTCTGTAAAAAATAACACAAACATCTGTATTCAGCATTCCAAGATAACAACGTCAATTTGTGATCCCCATGCAGGGAAATAGCTCTTCATTTGTACGGAACCCATGTAATAATGGACACTGTCACAAATTGTGCCACAACCTCATGGAATGACCCAACATTCCTTCAGAATATAAAGTCACTGACATTGGTGCCTGACTCAAAGTGTATTCTCACGTGATCAATCTCGACCTCAGAGTCCCCTAAAATGGCACACCAGAAGTTTGTGATGGAAAACTTCCAATTTCCTGACATAGCGCAATTCAAAAAATTCCGAAAAACTTTTATTACATTTAAGAAGTTCTTCAATATCAATAAGTTCTACACAAATCATTAGTTTTGCTCACATAACAAATTCAAGTCTGAAGACAAATTATTCCGTTTATTTTAGCGCATTTAAAAAGTTCATTTTGCACGAGAAAAAAAATGAAAAACTGGCCCGAAAATTTCATTGGAAACTCGAAAAAGAAACAGGAATTCGAGATTTGTGCACTGGAATTTTGGAGCTTGATCAAATTTCACTTATAATGAAAATATTGCTTTTACCATAAGAGGGCCACGCTAGAGGCCGCGCGATGTTAGAGTAGAACGTGCATCAAGGTGACGTCATAACTATGGACCAGTCACCACGGCGTTAACGGCAGAATCTTGTTTTGGAACAGTTGCCAGCGAAAGGCAAAATATCTACTGCCTAAAATAAAATTTCATGAAAGATTAATTTCATTTACATGTACAATGAAAAAAGGAAAGGAGCCCTGAAAGTTAAAATGGTCTGGCACTTACTTCAATTGACAGAATCAGACAGGATACATTGTAGTAGATAGATTCAGGGAACATGATAAAAAAAATGGCTCCCCCAACAAAGTCTATTGTGAATAGCTAAAAGTTCACCTCAGGGTTGAACTGGCCCCTGGGTGAAATAAACTCGGATAGTCAATCAGCTCAACCAAGGGGTTATTTTGAATAGGCCCGATAAAATCCGGGGTTTCTGAAAACAGGATGATAGAATTCAAAGGGAACCCCCTTGGGCAAAAAAAAGTCTGCCTAGCTGGCAGCACCATCACAAATAGTTTGCAAAAAATGAGGTGCTCAGGCACTCCAGAGTTCATGTTTAGTGTTATTAAGGCCCATTTGCAAAAGAATGAGCTTTGTATGTCGTCTCTCTTGTCCTTTCTGCGCAGGAAAGGAATGTATGAACAAATGTCATAAAGTAAGAGCTGGCTTGTAGCAGTCACGGAAGGTATTGTGCTTTGGGCTTACAAAATGCTACCTTTTTTGGTTGAAAGTTTTGCTATCTTTTGTTGTACAACCTATTTTGGAAAAGTTTCAGAATATTTTGAGAGGTACAGCTTATCGTCAACTTGAAAAACAGAGCTCAGCTCCAGCGCTTACTAGTGCTTTGAAATAAGTGCTGGTGAATGCCTTGCCAAGGCCCGGCAGGCTTCGAAAGAAACAAACGACATTATTCCCAACTATTTGTAGCGTGATCAGCGACTGGATCATCTAGTTGACCATTTTGGAAACAAGGCAGGGGATAGGCTTATTTTCGTAGCGTATACCATTAGTCTCGAACTGATCTCATGAAGAGTAGACCTACTAATTTCTTTGGTAATTAGCTTTT